AACTGGAGCTTAAAGGTTGAGTTTATCTTATACCAGATTTCTGTACATTACAGTTTTGCAGTTTATAAACTCATGTCCAGGGGATGAGAAAGTTATGCATTTTGTGTGATCGGTAGTCCACACACCAGTGACACAGGATTTTCAGAGTGAGAGAATTAAGTAGGATTTAATTAGGTGCTTTGTAAATAGTTAGCCAACTGTGCCTGTAACATGGTCTGTTTGATTAAAAAAGTGAGAAGATTTGTTTCAGATGATACAAGTGTCAAAAGTGCCGTGGCCCAGCAGACTTTGTCTAAATTAAATATTTATGAGGAAATGAACTACCGCGGTCCTTAGCTATCCACTGAAGTGATAAGGTGTCAACAAGATGAACATTTTGTTAATCAAAACAATGAAGAAGATTAAACGAGCCCCAAAATGACTCCACACTTATCTGCAGCCATGACACATCTTGTCACTGCCAACAGTGTTTCATATGCATAAAATTGGTCTGGGAAACCAGAAACAGGTCCTTAAACATATTTTCCCATCTCTGGCATTGTAATAATGTTTAAGAAACAAAATGTAAGGTCTTGTAACATTTAACTGAAATGAAAGCATTTAATTCTGAGACTCCAACTCCCGCAGTGAGAGTAAGTAATAACTAGAACTTTGTACTGAAATCTGTTTTTCTCACAGTACTAAAAAGGAAAATTAAAAATCCAAGCCCAAAAAACCCCTCAAACCTTTAACCTCTCATGGGAGTCAACTGCATTTGTCATGTTTTGTTTTGTTTTGTTTTTGTTTTTTAAGTTTGACTACCTGCCTGAGTTAGCTACTGGAATTGCGCTTGTTTGGGGCAATTTTTCTCAGCAGCCTTGAATTCTTGGTTATACTGTTTATATCTGCTCTTGCCAGTTTCTGCTATTTTACTGCATCACTGTAGAAGGAAAGGAAAAAGCAGAACATGCCGCCATAAAAGTATGAAGCAACTCTGTAGTGTTTGCACAAATAAAAATGAGTGTATTAGAGGAGAGCTCCTACTGGACTCCTGAAGTACCCTTGTATCTGTTTAGCAATCTAGAATGCATTCAAGCTACCAAAATCTGGCCCCACAGAGATCTAGTTTAACTCCCATTGGTTTCACTGGGGCCAAGATGTATTTTAGCTTTTTAAAACTGTCACTGCAACAAGTTAGAAATTAAAAAAGGAAATTCTATTACTATGCTACAATAAGTCTCATATGCTGTACTTGCTAGATTTCCAGGCTTTGATATAATCTTGGTTTATTCTTTATGCCAAGTAAAAAGAAAACCTAACAGCTTGTTTACTGATGGTTAGCATTAGGGGACACCTAAATGCAGTTCTTTTTGCTTTCAAAAGTCCACCAGTGTTTTTAGTTTCTTTCAAAATAATTTTAACCCTATGCATATTTTGATCATGTGCATCACATGGAAAAAGAAATCGCCTCCCAAATGTCTTTAATTTTCTCTTAGCCACAAAATAATTCCTTAAAAGGAGCTATTTGACTGAATAATGAAAGTTGTGGTTGTCCAAGGGAAAGACTGCCAAATTAGGCATCTGCACTCCTGGATTTTGTTCCCAGCTCTGCTACTGACTCACCTGGTGACCATGAGCAAGTCACTGCCTGTTTTCCCTGTGTTTCAGTTTTCCATCCCTAATACGCTGATGATAACATTTATTTACCTTTATAAAGCATATTAGGAAAAGTGGACAAACTACATATTTTTTCCTTCACCTTCTGATATGAGAGAAAAGTTTCAAATCTGAGAAGAAATTAAGCACAGAAAAAGTTAGGCTGATTAGAAAGAACGTCTTCCTGATGATGCATAGATTCCAGTATAGATTTTAAGGGAAGTGATAAGATTTCTCTTCATTTGAGATATTTTGGAACTAGAAAATGTTTTGAAAGAGAGCTAAACAAGGGGACTAAATATGCCTTTTCTATCTGTAACTTTTGTAATATTCATTGGATGTCAGTGAGCACATCTACATGTTCATTAGTGCACCATAGTTACTACATATTTAGTACTCCCTTATTGAAGTAGTAACTGAAAGCACAGGTACTATGTTTACTGCACAGTAGTGCCGCTGAACATTTTTTTGTGATGCTTACTGCGCAGTTGCCTAATAACACTGCACAGTAGGTTATAATAGCATGGTTTTGGACTGGCATGCTACTGCACAGTGTTGTTAGGCTACCGTGCAGTAAACATCTTGTGTAGATGCACCCGGTATTGAATAGACCCATTACTCTTTGGATTAGGTGCAAAGCTGGGGTTCTGATCACTTGTGATCATGAAGAATTTCCTTTCAGTTTCATAAGCAGAAAGGTAAATCTAGCTCATATGACTAGTCTTCTTAGCTAACTTTTCTCTGCTTTTTCATCTGGGTATGTCATTTTTTCATATCCTAGACTGTCATGTTGCTGTTAAATAGTTGCTGCATTTTCAGGCAGAAGAGAACTGTGTCATAATATATTCCATAACTACCTTAGAGATGTGTCCTACTGCTCAGTAAATAAACCCTTGTAAAATAATTTCATATCATTAGATGAAAGGTATTGTGTAAATGTAAAGTATTATATTAATATTATTTCTTTTATTATAAAAAGTATGAGTCTACATGTTAAACTTTAGTAAAATCTTTGTGGTAAAAAAAGAACCACAGCATAAAGAAAATTCAAACCGTGGTTTCACTTGCAGTACCATTTTATGCTTTGTGCTCTAGTAATGCTAGCAACATTACAATTATTATTTGCAAAGCAATATCAAACATGTTATACACCATTGTCTAAAATCCTAGACTAAATATATACATGGTGTAATGATATATAAATGAATGCAGACGCTTTATCAGTGATTCTTAACCATGGTGTTGTGGCATCCCGGGGTACCATTAGATCCATTTGTAGGTACTGCAGGGTGTTACATAATATTAGCACTGTTATGTGTGCAAACACCTACATATAATTCACAAGATAAACCCAGAGATTTTGAATAGGAATTCATAGGGTCAAAAAACATTCTGTCCTGCTGTGGGTTTTCTAAATTCTTTGCAGCAGAAGAATTGCTGCATTATTTTTCCATAGTCAAAAAAAGAGTGAAAGCAAGAGCTGTCATTTTCCAAGGAGTGCCGTGAGCCTAAAGAAGTTAAGAACCACTGCTCTATATTTACACCTGTGCTACAAGAGGATTTGGCCCACTTAGTTGAAACGGATTCACCACTGTGCTTCTCTATAGAAAATTCTTCCCTGCATTATGTTTTCATTTTACACTGACCAGATATGCCTTGTAATTAAATCACAAAACATATTAAAGCAATATTACTGTTCTCTCCTAATTTCACAAAAGGCAAGAAATTATGACTGACACTTTCTGGAGACATTCCATCCTGAGTTCTTCCTATTTTCTTGATGTGGTACAGTAAGTACAACAGCCTGTTGTGCAACAGACCCTGCAACGTTGAGGCACAACAGGGTAATTTAAGGGCAAAAGCCTGTAGCTCCAAACAATGTCACTCATCCCTCTGGTAGAGAGTAAAGCAAAGTGAAAAAAAAGCAAGAGTAGAGCAGCATGGAAGTAGAAGATTGTTTCATAGGATGCCTCTGTAACACATGGAAAAAGCTAGTATGCTAGGCATGAACTGGTAGACTTGTGCACATAAACTATGGGCCTGATCCAAAGCCTACTGAGATCAATGGAAAGACTCCCATGGACCTTAATGGCTTTTGATCATGTCCTATGAGCCTCACATACTAAAATGTGCATTGAGTTAATGTTTTTCCATTGAAGAGGTACAGAGTCCAGCTCTGTGCCACTCAGCCAAATGACAACAAAACTACATATTCTAGGTGTGTTGAGGGGCAACGTGGAAAGTAGCCCTTTGCCCAGGTGACCAAGAGAGGTGGGGGGACAGAAGTAATAATTGTATCAATATCCAGTGATACCAATATTAACTGTTACAATACAACTGCTATATCTACATGATTCTGTAAAGATGCAAATTTCACAGAAACATCCTAATTTTAACACTATTTCATTCAGAGTTAAAGGTACAGAGATTTAGCAGAGTGGCTTCTCCCCCTCTCCTTTGAAAGCCATTAAAAGCTATGATTGTCCATATCCTAAGAGAGTTAGTGTACCATGCAAGGTTCTTTACTGGTGTACTGTGCAACCCTCTCAACATTTTTTGTAGCCCTACCATTCCAGAGGAGGGAGAATAAACAACTCTCTGGTAACTTATTACCAAGCTCGTGATGGTGGTGGCTGGAATTTGTTTTTTTCCCCATTTGCACTTTTTGCTATCACATGTATACTAGGAAATATTAGCAATTCCCTCACTGGTGGGCACTGCAGCTCCATCAGTGCTAGCAGTGTTGGCAGCAGCAGTGGAGATCAGGGACAGAGTCTAGACTTTCATCCCTAAATTTTCTTGCTTTGATCAGCTTGAAACACCCTTTGGCATTTTTTCCCCCTGATTTAACCTACTTTTAGGCTTGGGGTTGTAACTGAGGGAGAATTAATATATTGGCTGACAAGATACACTAGTTTCTAATAAAAGAAATGTCCATACAATTTTTACAACCCATACAATATACTTAAAGGCCATAATGGCTCCCTCTGAGCAGCATGCCATGAAAATAAGTATTTCAACTCTTTATAACACGCATATAACACATACGTACTGCATAAAGCAACAGTTCATTTGAAGTTGCTATATTTTATCTTGTAAATTCATATTTAGACCTTTTAAATATACTACTTATTCAGCAGGTTATCACTCAAGTCAGAGATTCTACAAGTCTATCATCTAAGTATGCATCTAGACCTTGAGAAA